TGAGAAGCTTTTTTTGCCATCTCATCAGCCTTTTCATTTCCTATGTGCCCCTGGTGACCTCTAATCCAGTTTAGAGTGTATCGACAGCTAGAAGTATTTATAATATTATGTATGTTGTTTGCTATTGGATGGTAATTCCTGGAGTTTAATAGATCGATAGCAGAGGCACAGTCTGTAGTAATTTTTATTACTCCATTCGTGTACATTTGGTTTGACCAGGAAACAGCCATCTGTATAGCGAATAGTTCTGCTTAGAAATTAGAGCAAAATTCGCCAAGATTGTACTGTTTTATTGCTATTGTTTCGTTGTTACAATAAACCACGAAACTACAACCCACGCTTTTCCCGGTTTTTGATCCGTCCGTATATATATTCACATTTGTCTCATGACTTGAGTTAAATGTTATATTATTGATTAATTGAGTGCCGCTATAAATAGCTAAGTGAAGAATTATAATTGAGTGCCGCTACAAATAGCTAAGTGAAGAAGTTAGTGTCAAGTGGCTGTTAGTAGAAAGACTTATATCTACTTAATACTAATAAAACTGAATGCAAGTGCAAATCTTAATACCATTAACAGCTAGACAGAGAGTGTGAAAACAAACGAACACAATGACAAACTAGAGAAGATGAACGGACCAACAGAAGACAAATGAGCAAGACCCCAATTATTTTATTTTATTATCATTTTTTTTTAAGCATTAACTAACTAAACTAACCTACCATAATCTAGGATGAACCTAACCAGACAACTAAAGATAGCAACCCTAATCTAATTTAACCTAACCTATCATAACCTAACTGGAAACCAAGCTGAAGCCCCCAGTCTAACTTACAACTAGGATTAACTTAAACTAACTGAATTTAGACTGAAAAGATGATGAAAAATAAGAATTAAAATATGAAGTTGAAAGGCAGCTACATACTGACAGTTGAAACAAAGCAGGGGAAAGCTAATTGCAATCCATGCCCTCAGAGTGAGTGCTCTCAAAAGCCCCACTAAGGGATATGAATGTGAATAGATGATGGAACATTGTTCGCGTGTGAATGAGTTGTTCAGGTTGCAAAGCCAGTTGTACTCTTCAAGAATAGCAGCTCTCATTAAACTATCCCTAATATGATTGTACCTAGATCAGCGCAAAACTAAGTGAAGTCCTCCTGAATATCACAATTGCATTGTGGATTGTCTCCAAGGTTAAATCTATGCAAGTATTGCTTAAAGTTGCTGTGTCCTGTTAGTACCTGAGTGAGGGTGTAACTGGAATAAAAGTGGCAAAGAATCACAGTAGTGTCAATCTTGGGGATAAGTGTAGGTCAGCCTACCAGTGGTGTCATGGTCCCAGCTGTCTTGCCAGAGAATGAAGATTTGCTTCTTGACATCATTGTTGACAGATAGGAATGTAATTGAAAGTATTAGTGACTGAAGACTTTGCTGCTTGTTTGGCAAGATGGTCAGCGGTCTCGTTGCCAAGAACCCCCGCATGACCCGGTACCCATTGGAAATCTATTCTAATGTCGTTGTCTAAGTATATGAGATGGACAAGTTTTAAGCGGCTATCAGACTTTGCTTCCAGATGTAGCATTTGACCAGTCTTTTTCTCAATTCTAATATCAGAGATCCACACAAAATTGTTTTCATTTTGCTAAATGCCTCTTTTGCCATACCAATTCTCGTGATTCCTTTTCCACTTCTGCACTCAGTCAAGCAAAGCACCCAGGTAACTGTTTACTTGTTTCACTTTTCACCATTAATGTGGATGTTGACATTTATCATTGTTGATCACTGTGCAACAAGAATGATTGCCTTATGTAGTGGATCACTTTGAAATTATCTGTGAATGACAATTTCAATGTAATTGATTCCAACTTTACAAACTGCAAACACAAAACTCCTCTGTTGCAGTGTCACCATTTTTGTTTACTGCAGTTCCTAGAGGTAGTAGACAATGAGATATATGAATGCAGATGAAAGAGGAGACTCAGACAGTTATTCTAATAATTGGTGTACATTGCATACTTCTCAGATAATAATTAACATGATTACAGAAAATATAAAATGGTAGAATTATTTTTGGAAGACCCTGTATTAGTTTTATAAAGGTTGTTTGTTCTAGAATAAAAATAGCTAAAATTGTTTTTATAGTCACATTAACATAAGAATTGCAATCTTAAAAGCAAAACCAAATCTAATATGTAGAATATTGAATGCTGATGCTATCAACTGTAACTTTATATAACATTGTATATTATGGATGGGTTAGCAAATGACTGTGACTCTAGATATTATATAAATTTGTTTTAGCATCATTGGTTTGTATAAGGCCCCAAACTGGGAATGGTCATTAGGAGTAATTTAAGAAAGGGTATGAATTTACAAAGATTTACTTTANATATAGAAAGACATATATTTTATCTATTACTCAATTAATTCCAAATAAATTAAAAATTTAAAATTAGGGGAAAATAGTATTAATATAGTAATTATGAAATATATAGGGTAGCCAAAATTATGTCTCCTGTTTTATTTTAAATCAATTGTGTTGAAATTCATACACTATAAATTACATATTACAAAGCATATCTTGGTAAAGGATTTTGAGTCTCACTTCATTTCAATACAGCTGCCTGCATTGCCAATGCACATGCTCATGTAGCATTTTTTAACTTAATGCATAACACAAAACAATGTTATAAGATTTGTGTAAAGCTTTATTAGTTAGATATTGAACAGAATGATCAGCACAAACTTCAAAAATATTTTAGAAATTTTCTTTTTGAAATACAAGCTTTTAAAATTGAAAAATGCTCTTTTAAAATATTTAAAAGAAAAATATAATATAATGAATAAAATAAATAATACCAAATAAATAAATAAATATAATAAAATAGTCCTGCTTTGGAACCACATTGTATTGCTACAAAATATTTCAGTACAAAGGAAAATCAGTTCATGCTAACACTTGCCTTGTCAGTAAAGATGGTTTGACCAAGCAAGTGTTGGTGTGGATTGATGTTCCATTCTACAGATATAATAAAATACATAAATAAATAACAAAAATTACAAACTATAAAATTAAGTGGCATCCTGGAGACAGAAGGTAGGTTGGTTTATATGATTGTTTTGTTTGGAGGATGAACAAGGTTTCAAAAAAAAATAATGTGTGTGTTATCTGTCCTGCTTATCAAGGAAGAATCATTCCATGATGGAAATTGATATATAACCAAATCTGCCAATTTAGTGAAACTTCTTCCTGCTAAATAAAATCAAATTGTGATATAAGAACTGTATTGTAGTCATAACAATAATAGTAATCTGCAATTTAATAACATTAATGAAATAAATATGGAAGTTGTAAGGGTTTTTAATCCTATATTGTATTGAAACTAGTGAACACAATGTTGAACAGTTGTGGGAATTGTACATGAAAATAAAAAATAATAATGATATTTTTTCACATTCTCATGAAAGATCTCATGTCCTACTTTAGGCTTATCCCACAGTTCAAGAACCACTGGTTTATAAGAATATACATATTATATGTTATATATAAGATATAAAAGAGTAGCTCTTTACTTAATTTTTGTATGAAATGCCACATTTAAATATTGCACTGTGTCATTAGAGAGTTTGTGGCCAAAGTTAAAATGTTAAACTTGTACAGCAAGCAAAGTATACGTTTGATGTTTGAACTCTAAGTAAAACACGTTTTGCTACACATTCACATCATGCACTGAATCATGGGATATTGTTGAAAAACGGCAGAAATGTTTAACAATGATGAATGTTACCAGCAAAGGTAAATAAACAAATTAAACTATTTTAAAATATTTATAGGATGTTTTAATAACACTGAATAATTATTTTTGACTTTAATTAGCATTGTGTCTCCTACAGTGCAATATAATAGTAGGACAATTTCAATGCATTTTGCCTGTTCTCACAACATATTTTTGTTGAGGGAATTAGTGACTTATGTAAATCCAAAAGCAGCTCGGAAAATTTTTTTAGAAAATTTACAAATGTATTATGCCTTTGATGGTAGAAGATGCTGTGAAAGAACAAACTTACTCCTACAGAATTATGATAAGCTATTGTGAACACAAATATATGTAAATTCTATAGGCATTTCACTTGCAAAATAATTAAATAATTTCTGGATTAAAATCCTCTGTTTCTTTACAATATTATTCATAAATGCTTAAATAATTATTTAATAAAATACATTATAATTTTAACCCCAAACACAAAAAACATGAAGAAGTTTAAGCCAAACTTCAACTCACTATGCTTGACATACCAAATGCCAATGTCAATCTTCTAGACTTACCAGATGGTGATGCTTGATGTCCAACATTCACATTTTCACGATGAAAACATCAGCCATAACCCCTCTCTTATGTAGAGTATAAGTTACTGTAATTATGTTAATTATTATCCAATAAGTATGTGATGTACTGTACACCAATTGATAGAGTAACATCTTTTATCTGTATTAAAACATCTTGTCTATCCCTGTTAAAAGCACCATAAACAAAAATGGCAACTTCTCATAGAGAAGGTATTTTGTGTTCTGCATTTTACAAAGTCACAATCATTTATCATTGTGCATTTATATAGACTAACATTTATATAGAAATGGAAGTAGATTTAATATGAATGTTACTCTTGGTTTACATGATTTCAATTAACACAAAACTTTCACACCATGTAAATTGAGGGTTAAATGTACTTCCCAAAAATTTATATGGAATACTGTATAATATTTCTTATTACAGTTATAGTTTCTTTATGGAGGCTACGAAGGAATCAGGCTAAAAATGTAGGGATTGTCTATAAACAGTGTGATTTATTAGAAGAAAAAGATATTGATCTATATTTTATTAATGTATTTAGCAATTTAAATTTGAAATTAGTTATTCATTTTCTAGTTTTCAATTTCCTGATTTTGTAGCAGCAATAATAATTAATGTAAGCAATTTGTTGATCTGTTTATATTTAGGAAATTCGAATTGATTTAAGTTATCAAGAAAGATGTAGAGTATGGAAGACTGTGTTTAATTTATCACAAAGTTGCCTTTTAAATGAAATCTTAGAGTTACTTCCAAAACCATATATTCTAAATGTAAGTATTAAAATATTTTAATTGTTTCACATAATTGTATTAATTGACAGTCTTTATTCTTTTTATATAGTTTATCAATGGTTTTGATTTGAATAAACATGATGCCATTAATGACAGATCTTTTATTGATAAAGTTGTAGAATTCATAAAAAATTTGTAAGTAAATGAAGTATAATTTTAATATATTTTCTTAACTATATTAAATAATTATCATTTGAATTGTTTTAAATAACTTTGTCATTAATGATAATATTTTTGACATGAAATATTATTACTTTTGCACTTAACTAATGTCATTGGAACATATTTTAAATGCTTATAATCAAACAGCCAAATAGTCAAGATTGCTAAGATGTCAACATACTGCTCTGAAGGACTTAGGACCAAATTTGGGAGCAACCTCTGGAGTTTTGTCCCAGATAAGTCTGGTCTCATCTCTCATCACCTGCCATTCCCCATTCTAGGCCTGGCAGAAACCCACAATGGGTATGATTAAAAAGGCCCTCTTTGTACCTTATGGACCTAGGAGGAAAAATTCTTAAATTATTTTATTTTAAAATCAAACATTTTCAGATTGTCAGAAACATCTATTTTTCCATCTTTATTTTTTTAAATGTTACTCTTCTATCTAGTTTTGAATTATCAATATTTGTGATTTCTTTGAAAACAACTATTTTTGATAAGTTTCAAATGTGTTATTCTGTATAATCCATATATTTTTATTCATTTTTAAAGCATATCATTTGAATATTCTATTCTGTTGCTGACAAACATAAACATAAATATAAATATCTTTACTAAATTTGTATTAAATAACTTTACAAATTTCAATATAAATCTCAAAATTTATATATTTAACAAATTAATTATTTTTTTAAATGATCACATTAATAATCTGACATGCTGTTTTCATTTATTACAAAAGTATTTAGAAACGTTTGAACATCAATAAGCTATTTCTAAACTATAATCAGTGATAAAAGTAATAATCTTTGATATATTCCAAAATTATAAAAATTGGGTTTATGAATTGGCTGAAAAAGTTTTTGATGAAAGTTCTTCAAGAAACTGATATCCATATCATAGTTAATTTGAACATTTGTGGTTAAGTTTGTAAAGTACTATATTTATTTTTACACCTTTTACAACAATTATAGACACGAACTGTGTGCCAGAAATAGCCGTTACCTAACGGGTACTTTACGCGAATTTGCGTTAATGTGCCAGGCCTGGACTTTAAGCGTGCACCGAATTAAATAATTGCAAAGTTAGTCAAAAACAATCTAATATTTAATAATTCTAATAATGACTATGTACAAAATTTAGTAACAATCAAACAACAATTTATTCAAAGAAAATGAGCAATAAGAATCAACCTGACAAAACTCAAAATCTGTTGGCTAACTTAAATCTATTCCCCTTTGGAATTTGACAAAAAATTCAAAGACTTAACTTATGTACAATAATTCTTATGAACTAAGGTCCTAACCGTCACCTCAATATACTAGGAATCTTTTTCCTCAACTCTCGAGACTTTCTAATCTTCGATCCACAAATCAAATAACTTCTAATTGCCTTGGAACACCTTTATCCTATCAGACACCTCTTGTCGTTCACTGCTACAAAGCTCACTATGCTCATTGCTAACAGAAGCTCACCTTGGTCATCTTCGCTTGAGGTATGGGATTTATACTGTGAGGTGATGTCACAATTCTGACTGAGTCCATTTCCCTCATTTACATACTTATCCCTAACATTGAACTTTTGCTTTTTGCCTGGCAGTCTATTATCCGACAATACTCACTAACCTTTTACATTGTTCTTTTTGACAATTTTCAGGATGTTTTATTCGTTAAGGTTTAGCAAGTTCCTAAGTTGTGCTTGTGGGGTCTCCCCCTCTTCTTGGTGTGGACTTACTTTTTTTCGCTGGGGAGCGCAAGCATGCGCACGTTTTTTTTCTACAGTGCTTTTTCTCATTGATGAGTTGGTTTTTCTTTCTTCTGTTTTAAGTTTCTAAGGTGAGTGGTGAGGAAACCTTCGTCCTAAGAAAACATAAGCTCCAAACAAAAATAGAATAAAAAGCAAAATAAAAAGTAACTAAAAATAACACTCGGACTTGGTTCCTTATAAGTTTAAAACTGATCCACAACTGAATCATTCACAAAAGTGAAAAAAAAAATGCACAATAATGTTAAAAAAAATACAGAATAGTATCTCTTTCCAAAGTCTCAATAGCATGTTTCAAAAGAAAAAGAAGTTGGATAGTAAGTTTCATTGGTTACTGCAAAATGCACGAGCCAGATGTAAAGTCTCAATAATTAGCTGAAATGAGAATTTGGATTAAGTGTGAAAACCTTTAAGCTATTTATCTAACTATTTTTGTTGATAAAATTGATGCTTTCCAGTTCCTTCTATGACATACATACATACATACGTGAAAGACATCGGCCTTACACAAGATGGTTTAGCTGATGGAAAAGAGGGGAAGGGGAAGAAGGAGGGAGAGGAGATAGACAGTAGAGAAAGATACAATCCCTCTGAACGACATACATATGGCTACTGTACCCTTTACATTTGATGTTGGTGTGTAGTTTTTAGGCTGCAAGGCCATAGTACCCCTGAAGGGTGTAAAGAAAACCTGAAAGTAGCGAACCCCAATAATTGAGTGCCAGATTCAGATTCAGATTCAGATATTTATTTTGTATATGTCACAAGACATATCCCGGTGCCGCTTGTGCATAACCGGGTGAATACAAGTATATAATATTAATTACATAATATATGAGTATAACCTTGATTACATAAAATATGAGTAAAATTAAATACATAATATATGATTATAATATATATACATTTTTAAATAATAAACGCGTACAATAGTATATAGTTAATTGCACGCGCGTGCAGTAACTTATTGCAGAAGCATCTTGTATTGCAGGACAACACTTATGATGTGCCATCAAAGGCAATACTCTCACACTCAATTGATACACAGTATCATTTGTAATCATATTAATTAACACTTAACAATTAATTAACACGATCAATTATTAAGAATAATAAATTTACAGTTCGACTATGCAAGTGCATATCACAAATACATCACATATGTTACATAAATTAATACCAGTGAGATAGATATCAATTACATGAACTCAATATTATACAATCAGAATTATGAAATACATAAAAATTAACTACATTATGTCACGTATGTTACATAGATTACTATAGATGATAAAGTATCAATTACATGAGAACAATATTATACAATCAGAATTATGTGATACATAAAAATTAACTACATCTCAAGTTTTCATACATAGCTATGTATATAAGTTAGTCATATCCATTTATCATTATTATTAATAACTTGCATTAATTAACATACATCGAATCTTCCTACAATGTTTGTCAATTACTCACGTTATACATACAATCTATAATTATACGTTGTGTATGTTATATACAATTTACACATCACTATGGTAATTCTCATGATGACATCATCTACATGTTCTCCTGAATAACATTCCAGTTATGCTTCCAGTTAGCTGCCGTAAGACAAGGGTCCTCACATCCATAGATACACTACTCATCATAAAAGTGAAATCTTAGCGTTGTGAGTCACT